TTTTTTTTTTTTTTTTTTTTTTTTTTTTTTTTTTTTGGATTTTCGAGGCAGGGTTTCTCTGTATAGCCCTGGCTGTCCTGGAACTCACTCTGTAGACCAGGCTGGCCTCGAACTCAGAAATCCGCCTGCCTCTGCCTCCCAAGTGCTGGGATTAAAGGCGTGCGCCACCACCGCCCGGCTGGCCCAATACCTTTCAAATAGCAATTCTATTTACCTGTAGACTCCCCAAACATAAAGATTGGATAGATATGAAGAGCCTATCTCTCCCTACTTCTATTTTATTCTTAGCAGACTGTTTTCTGTGTTTGCAGTTCCGCTCTCAAACTTTGCTCCTGTCCTCAAGGTTTCTCCTCCCTCAATGCCTATTCCTGGCAGTTCTCCACAGCAAACTCCTATATCCTCAGTGCTTCTATAACTGTCACCATCCCCATCCCTATTTTCAATATAGCTTTAGGCTCTCCAACAAAGACTGTGGTTTAGTCCCCAATCATAACCAGCCATCTCGACTACATTCAAATAGCTTTCTCCAGTTAAGGCTGGCCATCTGTTGGAGCCTGTGCCCAGCACAGGTCCCAGTTCCTATCTCATCTCCATACTTACTTCCCTGAAGTTCCTTAATCATAGAATCATTACAGAAAGAAAAACTCAGAAATAATCTAATCCACTCCAATCCACTGCTTCTCAAACAAACAAACAAACAACAACAATAACAAAAAACAGGAAAAAGCTAGGCATGGTGGCATGCACCTTTAATTCCAGTACTCTTGAGGCAGAGGCCATGGGACCTCTGTGAGTTCAAGGCCACCCTGGTCTAAATGGTTCCAGACCGGTGGAGATACATAGTGCCATCCTGTACCAATGCCTCAGAGCCAGCAGCACTCAGGAAGCAGAGACAGACAGCTCTCTGAGTTCAAGGCCAGCCTGATCTACAGAGTGAGTTCAAGGACTACACAAAGAGACCTCGACTTGAAAAAACCAAACAACCCTAAAAGCAAAAGCAAAGAAAAACAAAACACCTTAATAAGCCCAACTCAAAATACCTGCCTCAGCCTCCTGGGTGTCTGAATTCTAGTTGTGTTATCACCACACCCAGTTTTCAAATTTTAGCTACATTTTACTGCATACATTGTAAGATGTAGGAAACTAACTTTACAGCATCATTGCAAACACTTCTGAAACCCATTTCATAAATCCTTACTATGTTGAACAAAGTGAGAATTTCTATTCTAGACCAGTTGTCTGTATTTATTCAGTTACCATTCCAACTAAACCGTCTTCACAACCCAACAGTAAACTGAGACTCATAGTTAGGAGACATAATCCGAAACTGAACTTCCCACTTACTAACGAAGAAACTAACTCAGCGGTGAATTAAGTTTCTCACCCACGGAAGTTTGCCCGTAAAATTCAAACTCTTGTCTGGTAAATCTCACACCAATGCGGTTTCTACTCAAGACCTGTGCTCGGTTACTCACTCACTCACACTTAGTACACAAACACAATTTCAGAGCACCACCCCCAATTCCTGATCTTACATTCTTCTCCAAGACAGCCCTCAAAGTCACTGCTTGTTGGTGAGCGCGCCCTCGCAGCTGCTGCTTCATGGTCCCTCGGGTCAATCCCCTCAGTCACTATCCATCGATCAGTCAGTCCCCAGGTAGTCACTGCTGCATACTTACTCGGTCATGGTCTCGTCGCAGCCTCTGCCTCGTGCTCTCCGAGGTCAGAGTCCCTCGCATTTACTGCTCCGGGGGTCGCAAGACCCCTCACAAGCGGCCACCCCTGGGTCACAGTCCGCTTGGCTGTCATTGTACCTCGGTCACAGTAGCCTCCTGCTTCACACTTCCCTAGCTGTCACTGACCCACTCTTCAGTCACAGCTCCCTCCCGGTCCCAGCCCGTCTTTATCCTCGCAAGCACCCCGAGTTTCATTACCTCAACTCCTCTAGGCTCGGGTCCCCTCGGGCTCCTTCCCCGCGCCGCGTCACCGACTAGGGAAGTCAAATAGGTTGCGGGGAGACGCCCGGGAAACATCTGACCGGACTGCGGACCGGAAGTCCCGCCTACCGCCCGCCCTCTTGTCAATTCCACCTCCGCATTCCTGAAAACCACAACCTGACATAGTGGTTCCGCTTCCAGCAGGGCCGGGCGCGTGGAGTGACGGAGCTGAAGTGCTGGAGGCAGGCGTGGGGTCAGCGGCCCCGGAATTCCGGATGTGTGGCGCCTCCTGCCGCTGGGGCGCGCTCGCCCTGTGGTCTCCCGGCGTTCCCTGCGCCCGCCGCCCCTCGCACTCCGCACAGGGCTGTCTCCGACGTCCGACCTCACCGAAGAATTCGAGCCCGCTAGCCACGTCAGGCGAACTCGGGTCTGAGCTCATCTTCTTTCTTCCAGTTATCTTGACCTAGGTTGACTCACCTAGAAATCGACCAGGGAAATAGTGGAGCCAGAGTAGAGGCGAGGGCAAAAATGAGCGTGTGGTCTAGAGGAACGGTGAACTTTCGGGGGATTTTGTTTTGCGGAGGTTTTTTTCCTCCACTTTTAAGATTTTATTTGTGGGTGTCCACGGAGATCATAAGCCGTGTGACATATCTTGGAGCTGGAGTTAACGGGTCTTTATGAATACCTGGGTGCTGGGACCTGAACTCTAGTCTTCTTAATTGAACAGTAAGTGGGGAATTAAAACTATTAGACATGGCCTTTGCGGTCGCCCAGACTGGCCTGGAATTTACTATTTGCCCCATGCTGGCCTTGAATTTGCGTAGACCTCCTGCCTCAGCCTCCAGAATGCAGTCATTAGCCACCACACTCTGTGCGATTTTGTAGCTGTAAGACAAGTGAGTACGTAACTTTACAGGAGAAAGATGAGTGGGGGACTTTAATGTATTTGTTTGCATTTTTTATTTGATGATACTGAGCGGAAAGAGGATGGGCAAACTTGTGCATCTACTGAGGTGCTTCCAAGGAGAATAATAAAATCTGACACACTTTTAGGTTCAAATAGGTATTTGGACATAGCAGATAAAATGGTTCCCCAAAAGAACTGCGTATGGGCTAGAGAGATGGCTCTGTGGTTAAGAACGCTGACTGTTCTTCCAGAGTCTTGAGTTCAATTCCCAGCAACCACATGGTGACTCACAACCATCTGGTAATGAGATCGATGTCCTCTTCTGGTGTGTCTGAAGAGAGCAACAGTGTGCTCACATAAAATAAATAAATCTTTTTTTTTTTAAACTGCATAACTGGAGGAGACACCAAGGCCTCTCTAGAGAAGATGGACATCACAAAGATAGTAGTTTAGATTGTAGCCAAAATAGAAACCTAGGAGTCTTTTTTTTGTGGTGGTTGTTTTTTTCTAAACATGGTATTTCTGTATAGACTAGGCTAACCTCTAACTCTGAGAGATCCACCGGCTTCTGCCTCTTGGGTGCTGGGATTAAAGGCATGTGACACCACCACCTTGCTGAAATCCCCGAAGATTAAGGGGTTCTACTTGTACACTTGAAATCTCTAAGGCCCTGTCACTAGACAAAAGGGATATATCCACCTTTAAGCCTGTGAGCTTGTTAGCCACAGGACAGTCAGTAGCTGAGCAAAAATGATAGGCCAGAAGAGACAAAGGCAGCAATCCAAAGAGAGTGATGCACAAATTCATCTCTGAATTGTTATAATGGTGCAAAATTTGAAATTAGCCCCTTGACAAGGAAAGGTCAAAATGCAAATGTTATAACCTAATAGTATAAATGCAGCTATTATAAAAGTCATTAAAAACTGTAACAGCGCCGGGTGGTGGTGGCGCACACCTTTAATCCCAGCACTTGGGAGGCAGAGGCAGGTGGATTTCTGAGTTCGAGGCCAGCCTGGTGTACCGAGTGAGTTCCAGGTCAGGCAGGGCTATACAGAGAAACCCTGTCTCGAAAAACCAAAAAAAAAAAAAAAACCTGTAACAGCACAAAAACAATTCATGTGTGAAAACACACAATTTATTTTATAAATGATTTTTTTTACATCTTAAAAGGAACAATTAATAGAAAATACACCCAAGTATTTAGTCACCTGAAATATTAAAATGAATTTTCCCCTCCTTTTTCTCTATTTTTCCAAATGTAGAAAGGCCACAGATAGCGTAATAAAATCAAACCATTTAAACATATAAGACATAACAAATTTTAGGTACCAAAGTGCCAACTTATTTTTATTTGGTCAGGAAATTTAACAATATAAAAAAGTTAAGGTTTCCTCGAAGTCAGTCACTTTCCAAAGATTCAATAGTAGAAACAACCAAATGCTGCCACAATACAGAATAAGCTGTCCTAAAAGTAAAAAGACAGAAAACAAATCCATGGTGTTAGTGCTAATGAGAAAGTAGGTCAAGTGGCAACTGAAATTAATGATATACTAGATCCTAGTCAGTTTTCTGTTTTCCCTGTTGTCTTCAGGGAATCTAGCTATGTAACAGAAAAGGCTTCAAACTCGGAATGTTTTCCTGCCTCAGCCTCCCAAGTGCAGGGATTGCAGGTGTGACCCTCTATTTCCTGCCTTCTTACTTTCCTCAGGGTTTGAATTAGTTCCTAAGCCCATACAAAACTGAATGGATGAAGAACGTGGGGGATGTTAATGAGAGACAGTAGCTATCACAGGCCTCCAAACAAGGCTGAGCACTGAACTAGACAGTAAGACTGAGCTCCAGAATGATGTCTTGGTCTCCTACCCAGCCCTGCATCTGCTGCCTGGAGAGGAGATACAACACACCTTTTGGAGAAAGATCACCAGCTCTCTGAAGAAAGCACACTGATTTCTGTCTCTGTTCACTGGCACCTGTGAACAGGTAGGCAGAAGGAGCTCTGCTTTTCCAACTACTTAACTTCTGTTTTATAATTACTTGTATTTTTCTTTAGTTTTGAGAAGTGGCTTTAATATAAAGTAGATGATTTTATTATTGAAAGTTTTCTGTTTATAGAATTTTCATCCAGATTCTTCTGTAGCTCAGTGAAGTGTGATATGTTTGAATGAACAGATAGTTCTAAACTAAGTTAATTATTACTCTAACAAGGACTGTCAGGACTGGATTTTAGAACACAGTGATTTATAGGGGGTGGTTATGATGGTTAATCTTCATTGGCAGATTTACTAGGGTTAGATTCCAAGTCTCGGAGACACTGCTCGGCAAGTGTGTGGGAGTTTTATCTGGAGAGGTTTAACTGAGGAGGAAAGGCCTGCCCTGAACACAGACGGACAAATTCCCATGGCCACAGCTACAAACCAATGCTCCTGCCACCAGGCCTTCCTCACAAGAGCAGACTTACAGCCTGACTGGAAGTCGCTCTCAGCCTTTCCTCAGTTTTGCTTTGTGTGGTTGGTTGGTTGGTTGGTTGGTTGGTTGGTTGGTTGGTTGGTTTTGTTTTCCAGGCAGGGTTTCTCTGTGTAGCCCTGGCTGTCCTGGAACTCACTCTGTAGACCAGGCTGGCCTTGAACTCAGAAATCCACCTGCCTTTGCCTCCTGAGAACTGGGATCAAAGAAATGCACCACCATGCCTGGCTACTAAGGGTAATTTATAACACTGTGTAAGCATGTACACAACTATGTTATTAGAAGCCACTTTATCCTTTTCCTGCTTTAAGTAGAAATGTCTATGGATTCTGTTTGTAGTTTTTCACAAATAAAATAGTAAAATTTAAAATAAAATCTCTGATGTTGGGTGGTGGTGGCATATTAATCCCAGCACTAGGGAGGCAGAGACAGGTAGATCCCTGATTTCAAGACAAGTGTTGTCTATAGTTCTAGTACAGCCAGGGTTATCCAGAGAAACAGCCTCCATCTCCACCCCAACCCTCCTAACAAGCAAACCTTATCCAGAAGTCTAAGAGATGTATCTCAAAAATACTACAGTATCTTCGAATTTTAGCAGTAGTCTGGTGTGTAATGGCCATATGTCTCTAGGAAGGAGAAAGGAGTTTCCTGAGGACTTACGTTCATGAAAACATCGTGAGTGTAGTTGTCTGTGTCTGCATCCCAGAAACAGCGAGCAGCCATGCTAAAATGCCAATGAAGAATGGTCAGCAGTCTATATCTCTACTCACTGCCCATGTGAGTCTGTCTCCTACATTCTGACAGGCCCATGTTTCCAAACCTTTCCATGGTACATGGAGAGAATTCTATTTGTAAAGCAACATGTGCTGGGCCTGGAGAGATGGCTCAGTGGTTAAGAGCACTGGCTGTTCTTCCCGAGGTCCTGAGTTCAGTTCCCAGCAATCATATGGTGGCTCACAATCATCTGTAATAGGATCAGATGCCCTCTTCTAGTGTATCTGAAGACAGCTACAGTATAAATCAAATAATAAATTAAAAAAAAAAAAGCAACGTGTGCTGGACAACCAGGAAGTACGGGAGTCACAGGTGATTATTTGCAACTAGAGTTGAGGGCCCAGGGCCTCTAGCCATCTCAGCACCCCAGCTAGCTGTCTGAAAATACAGGGCTCAATCTCTCCAAGTCTCTGGTTCTTGGAGTGAAACTCCACAGTACATTACTTCAGCTAGGACACTGTGTCTTTCAGAGGGCTTAGTTCTTGAAGAATAATAAGAAAAGAAGTCTTACAAAGGACCCAACAGAATACTTCAGAATAATTTGTAGAAACCTATACAAGAAAAGGGAAACTTGGGGCTGGAGAGATGGCTTAGTGGTTAAGAGCACTGACTGCTCTTCCAGGTCCTGAGTTCAATTCCCAGCAAGCACATGATGGCTCACAACCATCTGTGATGGGGATCCAATGCTCTCTTTTGGTGTGTCTGAAGAGACACTGTGTACTCACATACATGAAATAAATAAGTCTAAAACGGGCAGTGGTGGCGCACGCCTTTAATCCCAGCACTTGGGAGGCAGAGGCAGGTAGATTTTTGAGTGAGGCCAGCCTGGTCTACAGAGTGAGTTCCAGTACAGCCAGGGCTATACAGAGAAACCCTGTCTCGAAAAACAAAAACAAAACAAAACAAAAAAAAGTCTAGAAAGGAAAGAAAGGGGCAACTCTGAGTAGAATTCAGTCCTCTAACTGGACTCATTAGGTGGCTCAGACCAGTAAAATCAATGTTTTTGAGGCTGGCGAAGGTTGCTACTGGGAAGACCTGGGCTATAGAGAGACGCTGTTCCAGAAACAAGCAAAAGCCAAGTAGAATCCTGAAAGCCTGTGATACCAGCACCTGGGAATGGGAAGCAGGAGATCTAGAGTTCAGGATCAGCCTCAGCCACATAAATGTACTTGAAGCTAGCCTGGGCTACAATGAGACCCTGTCTCAGAAAAACCAAAGTAGAATTCCAAAATACCTTTATAGGCATAATGCTTTGTGCACTGTATAAAGATTATCCTTACAATATTCACATGCAAATTTCTCCATCCTGCTACCTGGTTTCAATCTGACACAGCATTGTAATCATTATGTGGAGACACTCCAGCTTCAGGTTTGTGTAAACACTGCTCCCCATTTATGCTCTGACTTGTCAATAAAAGCTGATCAGCCAATGGCTGAGTAGAAGAGAGAACAGGGTGGGACTTCCACCATTCAAGGGACAAAAGCAGGGGGTAATAAGAGGGGATTCACTAAAAGGAAAGGGTCCCAAACACATCATGGAAGAACACGCATGAAGCCTAGAATGCTAGACCAGTACTAAATTGGAAGTATCACAGGATTTTGGCTGGAGGTAACCAGATTAGTTTAGATGTTTAGAATAGATCAATGACTTCCCAGGTATTGTGAGGTAAAGTTAGTTTAAATAAATCTAATACTCTTAGTCTCATTCATTTGAAACCTAGCTAGGGATAAAAAGAAATATTGCCACTTTAAAAATATACTTGCAAGCCGGGCAGTGGTGGCACACGCCTTTAATCCCAGCACTTGGGAGGCAGAGGCAGGTGGATTTCTGAGTTCGAGGCCAGCCTGGTCTACAGAGTGAGTTCCAGGACAGCCAGGGCTACACAGAGAAACCCTGTCTCGAAAAAAACAAAAAAAAATACACTGGAAACCAAACACTGTGGATTGACAGAAGGTCAGAGGCAGGCCCTGCTCACAAGGGGCTGCTAAGTAATGCTCACATCCAAGCACAGAGCATGTAACAAGTGTCATGACTAAGTAAGAGATGACTCTAAAGACTTCAGCTTTGGAACCCCCCAGACTTACTATTCAGTTGCTGGAACCTCTTCAGTTTACAGCTGCGTCTGTTAAACCGTCCTCATTTTTGCAAAGACATATGCTTACTGAACTATCTATCCACACAATGGATAGCTCCCAAGGACACAAAGACAAGAAAAAACTACTCACAATACTCCTTCACCCCTCTGTTCTCCAATCACCACTTGTACCACCATTTTATACCGGTCGTATCCCAATTCTAGAAAGGAAAAGAAGGTTATCTATATTCAAGTACATAGTAAAATAACTTACTGAACACAAATTCTTCCACAATACACAAGCATTCAGTCCACAGGTAGTAAGGAATATGATGGTGTGGTTAGGAGTCTGAGACCTGGAGGTAAACCCTAGCTATAAAGTTACCCTGCAGTAAAACGTTAGAGCCTAACTTTCCCTTTAACATTCTCTAGTCTGTTTGCAGCCAGCCTGGGCAGAGGAAAATCTATCTTGGGGGGAAAAATAAAGAAAAATTAAGCTTTATAGATATTAAACATGCGTGGCAAGTAACAGCCTGGGTAGGTGATATTAAGAATTGTTGAACTATCCAGACAAACCTTTAATCCCAACATTCAGGAGGCAGAGGAAGGCAGATATCTGAGTTCAAGGCCAGCCTAGTCTACAGAGTGAGTTCCAGGACACCAAAGGCTGCACAGAGAAACCCTGTCTCAAAACAAAACAACAAAATAACAACACAACCCCACACACACACACAATCACCAAACAAGCAAACTCTAAAAAAAGTAAGCTGTATGGGGCAGTGGTGGCGCACGCCTTTAATCCCAGCACTTGGGAGACAAAGGCAGGTGGATTTCTGAGTTCGAGGCCAGCCTGGTCTACAGAGTGAGTTCCAGGACAGCCAGGACTACACAGAGAAACCCTGTCTTGAAAACAAACAAACAAACAAACAAACAAATAAAAATTAAACTGTGCTTAATGTAATTTTTGAAATGAATTTAATCCCGTGAAAGAAATGTCAGTATTCACTGACTATATCAATCTACCCTGGTGCTCCAGTGTGTATTACCATGAGTGACACACAGACCTTCTTAAGTTGCTGTTGCTAACAATGCCTCATTTTCCCCTGAGTGTAGACTACAGAAGAAGTGTAACTTTATATTATCATGTGAGTCTTACCATACTAAAGATACTATGAATATCTGTCATTTTCATGTATTAGATGAAAATGGGTCACTGCTTTGAGAACAAGTCCCCTACTCTTACCGAGTGGCCTAGATGGGATAAAAATTGTGGCATGTTACCAAATAAATGAAGAGAAAGGAAAAAATAAAAAGGAGGGCAGGGCTTGATGTGTGACTGTGACTGTGTGGTAGAACACTTTCCTGGCACACAGGAGGCCTGGAGCTCCATCCCTAACAGTCTGAAGGGGGATGGCACAGACTTCAAACAAACAAACAAACAACTTTCCTGGGCTGGAGAGATGGCTCAGCAGTTAAGAGTACTGGCTGCTCTTCCAGAGGTCTTGAGTTCACTTCCCAGCAACCACATGGTGGCTCGCAACCATCTGTAATGGGATCTTATGCCCTCTTCTGGTGTGTCTGAAGACAGCTACAGTGTATTCATATACATGAGATAAATAAATAATTTTTTTTTAAAAAAAATCTCAGCACTTGGGAGGCAGAGACAGGCGAATATCTGAGTTCGAGGCCAGCCTGGTCTACCAAGTAAGTTCCAGGACTGCCAGGGCTATATAGTGAAATCCTGTCTCGAAAAACAAGAAAAAAAATTTTAAAAAAACATAAAACTTTTCTGATGGCACAACATTAAACATAGTATGGGGGTAGGCATGGTGGCACACCCCTTTAATCCTACCACTTAGGAAGCAGAGACAGATGGATCTCTATGAATTCCAGGCCAGCCTGGTCTACATAGCAAGTCCAGGCCAGCAGAGATACATGATCAGACCCTGTCTCAAAAAAACTAACCAAAGCCGGGCAGTGGTAGTGCATGCCTTTAAGCCTGGAAAGGTACTGAACTGACCAAACCGTCAAAAGATTGGAGAGAAAAACAACCAACAATTAGGAGGGAAAGGAGGCCTTTCTGAATACTTGGATTTGCTGGGCAGTGGTTCCCTATAATGCTTTAGTGCATATCTTTACTCTTTCCTACCATCTGCAAAATGCCATTGAGTAAAAGTCACCAAATAATTATAGAATTCTAGACACTGAAGAATAATGTCTTTTTTAAAAATACAGAGTTTGCATCCTGGGTTTAAAATGGGGCAGGGCGGTGCATGCCTTTAATTCCAGCACTCAGGAGGCAGAGGCAAGAGAATCTTTTAGTTCGAGGCCAGCCAGTCTACAGAGTGAGTTCCAGGACAGCCAGCACTGCACAGAGAAACCCTGTCTCAAACCAAACAAACCAACAAACAAAAAAGGGGTTGGGCAAGAACAAATGGGTAGAACTGAGTGTTTGAAGGGGACATTATTTCTACATACAGCCCATGTTACCTTTTAGCTTATCTTTAATCATTTCTGATAGATGTTTTGTGAGTTGAGGCATTTCATCTGGAGAATATTCAGCGCCTGCCAATTCTTCCTTGAGCACAGCATGGATGCAGTCTTTAACCACAGAGGGTCTAAACCTAAGTCCAAAAATATCTAAAGGTCAGCTCAGAGCCCTAACTTGCCTTCACACTGATCAGACTGACTGATTAATGAGTTTTGTTTTATCTTGCACTTTTATTATAAAGGTAATATAAACAAGCAAACAATTCATGTCCCACATCTACATCTATGACTTTCATGAACTTCAAACCAAAATACATTCCATGTCTAATAGGCAACCCAAAATGAACATCCTAGGACAATGTAGCTCGGCTGGTTAAACATTTGCCTGATATGTTGAGGCTCTGGGTCCTATCAGCGATGCCACACATAAAATTAGACATTCCATATTCAGCTTCTAATTGTCTTGTCTTGCCTAGGCCAGTTCTTCATAGAGTCCTCTCAACTCAGTTTTCCGGGGCCTCAAGCAAATACCTGGGAATCAGTTTTGTTGTTGAGTAAATCCTATCTGTTCTACCTTCAAAATGATCATTCTTACCAATGATCTAAAGTTTAATCATTTTTTAAAAATTCTTATTTTCAAGATTTATTCACCATTGCTCTCTTTCAGACACACCAGAAGTGGGCTTCAGATCCCATTACACATGATCGTGAGCCACCATGTGGTTGCTGGGAATTGAACTCAGGACCTCTGGAAGCGCAGTCAGTGCTCTTAACCACTGAGCCATCTCTCCAGCCCAAGTTTAATTATTCTTACCAAGCTACGATCTCCACTACTCCCAGTCTACATTACAGTCTATATTGACTGAGTCCCCATGCTTTCTTTTCTCTTTCTTTTTAAGATTTACTTATTTTTATCTCATGTGTACAAGTGTTTTACCACAGGTATGTACAGAGCCCTTGGGACTACATATAGGGATGTTTGTAAGCTAACATGTAGGTGCTAGAGGGTGGGGTGGTGGTCATGGGGCAGACAGGGTTCTCTGCAAGAGCAGTAATTTAGGTTGGCCTTCAACTCAGATCGACCTGCCTCTGCCTACCAAGGGCTGGGATTAAAGGCGTGCACCACCAGTGTTCTAGGGTTTAGGTCTGGGCTGTAGCTCTCAGAGTAAGGTTAAGAGTGGCTCCTGAGGAAGCTCAAATCTTGGACTCAATTCCCAGCATGCATGCACATAGTAGTGGTTCAAACCTGTGAGCCTAGCTTGGGTGGTATAGGCAACAAGGTCAGGATTCAAGCTTGTCCTCTCTGTACTGTAAAGTTTGAAACCAATCTGAGGTGTGTATCTTGTCTCAACTTGATCTCTTCAAAATGTGGCCTTATTAAAATACTGTCTCTAAGGGTCTGGGAATGTAGCCCATCCTTGCACATGATGACTACATTTTTAATGCATGAGGCTCTGTTTTAAATCCTTAGCACTTACCCAGCCCAATATTATTATTTACATCTTCCTGTAAGCTTTTTTTTTTTTTAACATTTATTGTGTCGTGGGATATGTGTGAGAATTGGTTCTTTCCTTTCACTACCTAAGTCTTCAGGATTGAACTTGGGCCATCAGGTTTGAAAACAAGTGCCTCTACCAGCTGAGCCATCTTAATAGTCTGCTTACGCCTTTTCCTTCCTTTATTATAATTTTATTTTTATATGTGTTTGCCCCTGTGTATATGTGTAACTCCTGCTGCCCTTGGAGTTACAAACAATTGTGAGCTGCCATGTAGGTGTTGGGAACCAATGCTGGGTACTCTGCAGGGGCAGCAAATCTCTCCAGCCCCTGCTTATGCTCACTCAGTCTTTCATAAAATGCTAAGCCTCCCTTTAGACAAGTCATATGAACTCATAGGATCATTGGCACGTTTGTTACTAACATCATTCTTCACTGTTTACAAGAGAAATACAGCTCAATACCATTCTATATATTTAGAACATTTAACGAGGTAACAGAACATACATTTTTCTATAATCATGGGGAAACTGCTTCGTGAAGTTACTATGGAAATATAGCCAATGCTCCTCTACCTTGTTTTTTGTTTTTGTTTTGTTTTTTAAGGGTTTACTTATTTTATGTTTATGAGCATTTTGTTTGCATGTAGAACTAAGCACCACACGCAACTTCTGCCCACAGAGGCTAGAAGACAGCAGCTAATCTTCATGTGGGTGCTGGGAACTGAACCCCAGCCTCTGGAGGAGTAGCCAGTGCTCTTAACCACTGAGAAATAGCTCCAGCTCTCCACCATGATTTTGAGACAGGGTATCTTCACTGAGCCAGGCTGGCTAGCCAGGGGAGTCCTAGAGTCTTGTTTCTCTATTACTGGGATCAAATCTCCATCACTGGGATTACAATATACAACGACTTTTTACAGGGGTGCAGGAATTGAACTCAGGTCTTCCTTCATGCTTTCAAAGCATGCACATGACAGACTGAGCTATCTCTACAGCCCTTCACCAACCAGGTGCACGCCTTGGGGGGAAAATTTCTCTCTTGGGCCCAGTGAGATAGCTAGCTGGTAAAGGCCCTTGCATCCAAGCCTGATACCTGAGTTCAGTCTCCAGGATCCACATAGTTCAAGAACAGAACCAATTCCTAAAAGTTGTCCCCTGATCATAAGTAGCATTTGTGCACCCAAACACTCAACCACACGCACAAGCACACCCACTTTTTTTTTCTTTTGTAAGATGAAGCTAGTGATGTATCTATCCTACAGTCTAAACTGACCTGACCGCCCTCTTCTAGCAACCTATTGAGGTGGTGATCGACGCTATAAGAAAAGGGCTTTGTAAAGACACAAGTCGGGTGCCAGAATAAAGCGTATCCTTGTAAGCTGCTTGTTTCTGGCTTCTATTTTTCCTGTCCCGCGAGCGCACCCACTAATGCCTCCGAGAAGTCAACCACTTCCACAGCGCTAGTCTATGCTCCCGGTAAGACCCGCTAGTCAGACTGCAGAGTTCGGCGGTGGAGAAATCGCCACGTTGGAATGCCAAAACCCACCCAATCCCTCGCCCAGCCCGTCTCCTTAGGAACAATCGCGCTCCCAAACGCCCCGGCCCCACTCCCCACATCGCCCTCCTTGCCCAGTCTGCTACGCGCCTTTGCTGGAAAATGGGCCTCAGAATATAGGTGTTCTCAGGCTCCCCCGAGCTCTTGTCGACCTCAGACAAGCCCTCGGAGGGCCCGGCCATTAAGGACTGGCCGAGGAAGGACACAGCCATATCCCTGCTTGTGGATCCAGCAGATGATCCCTAGCAGGGCCAACCGGCTGCCAGCGGCCGAAGATCCAGGAGCGCGTCGCTAGGGCAACGGGTCGCTCACGTGACATGTGGTGGCCACCGCTGCGCCTGCGCACTGTCTGGAGGCCTGGAGCCCGCTGGGAAATGAGTACCAAATGGAGACCAGGACTTTTTAAGAGAAGTTAGGCAACCGACCACCTGCCAGTGAGAGACAGGACCAAACCCGCCTAACTTCCTTTAGTTTTTCTTCCTATTTTTTGAGAGAGGGTGCAATTAGCTCAGACTGGCCTCTAATTCCTGCCCCTATTTCCCCAGGTTTGGGATAACAGAGTTATGCATGCCAAATTTTATGGGTGCTGGAACTAAAACACTACTGGGTCACATCTGCACACCGTCCCTTCTGTGTTTGGACAACTTGTGAGTTAAAAGTAGGAGACAAGTAGAACTTATATGTAGTTTTGTTTTGTTTTGTTTTGTTTTGTTTTGTTTTGTTTTGTTTCGAGACAGAGTTTCTCGCCATAGTCTTGGCTGTCTTGGAACTGAATTCTGTAGACCATACTGGTTTCAAACGCCCAGAGATCCACTTGCCTCTGGCTCCTAAATGCTGGGGTTAAAGGTGTTGGTCACCATGCCGAGCATACATTTTTATTTGCTTGTTTTTATTTTACATTTTTGTCATACAATACATTCTTATCGCGCTTTCCATCCTCACCCCCTTGTGAGGTTCAAAGGAAACTCTCTAAACTCCAAAAGACAGCCCAAATATCCAGATATAAACTCAAAGTGGACTATAGTATTTCTAGCTGTGAGATACAAGCTTGCATTACTCAGGAAATTGTGAGACTGGTTCTCTTATCTCTAGTAGAAGGGACATAAGTCTACCCAGGCTTATGTGAGCATATCAAAATGCTTGCCGGCTTCTGGGGTCCCTGGAAGATAGCCCTGGCCACATCCAATCTCCTGTCTATGTTCTAAGTCTGCTTCTTTCCCTCTCTATTCTGGACTACTTCAGATCCCTCTGGCTGTTCTCTCATATCTACAATAAAAATAGGAATCATATCATGTGAGCGGTTTCTTTACTGTGCCTCCTTGAATACTTAAGACCCTTTCCCTGAAGATGGGGGCAGGGAAGGAGCCGGGCATGGAGCTGGGCGGGCATGGTTCTGGGCATGGTAACACATGCCTTTAATTCCAGCACTTTGTAGGTAGATTTCAAAGTCCAAGACCAGCCAGTTATTTTTTTTTTCCAAGACAGGGTTTCTTTGTGTAGCCCTGGCTGTCCTGGAACTCTATCTATAGACCAGAGGTCTGCCTGTTTTATTGAGGGAATTTTGTTAGGGTTCCCCCCCCCCCAAAGAAAAAAAAACCAAGTCTCCCTCAGTATCTGTGGCTCTATCACTCTCACCCAGTCCTCTACCCTAAGCCTCTCCAACCCAGGGGCTGGGCTTCATTTCTCTTCCCTGAGCAACACCCCACCCCACTCCCTGCTTGATGCCTATGTAGCTGGCATTTTGGCTACATGTCCTCTTTGTTCCCATACACTCTCTTAGTCCTCTGCCCCTCTCTCCTCTCTCTCCTGTTCCTCTTTCCCTCTCCCTGCTTCCTTTCGTCTCATGGCCCAGTCTATTCTGCTGGCTATCGTCAGTCTGGACATCTGAACTCTTCCAGAAGCCTCTGGCTGTTCTCTCCCTCATATCTATAATAAAATCTTTCGCTTTTCCTTTCTGCCACCGCCATGCCATCCAGACTGAGGAAGACCCGGAAACTCCGGGGTCATGTGAGCCACGGCCACGGCCGCATCGGTAAGCACCGCAAGCACCCAGGAGGCCGCGGAAATGCTGGAGGCATGCACCACCACAGGATCAACTTTGACAAATATCATCCAGGTTACTTCGGGAAAGTTGGTATGAGGCATTACCACTTGAAGAGGAACCAGAGCTTCTGCCCAACTGTCAACCTGGATAAATTATGGACGTTGGTTAGCGAGCAGACGCGGGTCAATGCAGCCAAAACCAAGACTGGGGCTGCTCCCGTCATTGATGTTGTGCGATCTGGCTACTACAAAGTTCTGGGCAAGGGAAAGCTCCCTAAGCAACCTGTCATCGTGAAGGCCAAATTCTTCAGCAGAAGAGCTGAAGAGAAGATTAAGGGTGTTGGAGGTGCCTGTGTTCTGGTGGCTTAAAAGCCACTCCAGGGGTTAATTAAATGCTAACATTTTCCATGTGGTCTGAGTAGGTTCTTTGCATCCTTCCTCATCTGCATGTTGGGAATCTGCCTAACACTCTAGGAAGATGTGAGGCAATAAATGTAGCCCACAGTTGTAAATTCCTACATCCCTGTGTGTGCTCTATGTAGGGTCTTGATATTCAAAGAATTGATGAGTGGCATTACTTTAAGCCCAAAGTGAAGAAACCTGGTCTCAAAAAATCCTGAGGACCAGAAGTGAGATGGGTTTTCCTGAAAATCTGAAGTTCTGAGAAAATCCTTGCCATTCAGATTGCTAACAGTTGCCTGGCTTTGTAAGACCACCATATACTGAACAGGTAGCTCAGGACTGGGCTACTGGGTACTGGAGAGATTAGCAGGGAAAGTTTAGGGGGAAGAGGTGCTCCATCCATTCTTGATATTGAGGTGCTGTTCCTAGGGAGCATGCCTACCTATTAAATTGTTAGAGGGCTAGAGCAATGGCATCAGGACATCAGCACAACTGGGAATACTTCAGAACCAGAGCTGTGGTCTTGAACTACTGGAAAAGTGAAACTTTATGTTAAGAGTAACTTGGAGTAAATAAAACCAAGAACCTGACTGCCTACATCTTTAAATCTGGAACATTAAACCAACAAAGTTAACTCTTTGAGTTTTTAGGGAGATTTTGCATATATACTTAGCATTGAAGCTGCTGCTTTAGTAGCCAAATGCATATTGAGGCAATATAAGTTGAGAGGGGTCACTTAACAGGGAAAAGGCTGTCAGAAGCCTTATCAATGATGAACATTGGTTTGTGGAAAAACATTTTAAGATGTTTTGGAAGATGACAAGACTTCTGACTAGAGATACTGATCTGTATAATCTCCCCTAGTACAGTGGGATTCAGATGTATATGTTACGAGGTAGAGGGTGATGGATATGTATGTGGCAGTCAGGACTAGGATTTGTAACATTTGTGTATGTAACCATATTCATAATCTATATAAAGGTTCCTAAAGTACATGTTTTTATAACAAACTAAAAAAAAAATCTTTCTCCTCAACCATACTTAGCAGTGTTTGTGTCCTCATTTTCATTCAAGTTGCAAATCAGCCAGGGCTACACAGAGAAGTCCTGTTTAGGGTATGGGAGGTGAGAAGGGCTAGGATGCTGCACTGGACTTAGAAATGTGTAATAGGTACTTGTGATGCTGAAGGACACTGGGAGGCAGGCATGAACTTTGATATGCTGAAAGGTGCCACAGGTAGCAATTATGTCCCTTCTATCATAGGCAATGATTGTTCTCTTCCTCATATCTACAAAAGAAAGCCCTTTGGCAGACTCCTTTTGGAAGATAAAAATGGTTTCACAAGTTCCTAAGGAATGCTGACTTTTACCAAATCACCAGAAATCTTTCTATAGTTCAAGTTAAGCTCATTTCTAGATATTTGGAGTGACTTTTAGAATTGGGGAATTAGAGTCTCCTTTAGACCTGACAAGTTCATTTTGGCATGAAGTCTACCCTGAAGTATGGTTGTATACCCAACTGGAGGAAACTATTTTTTCCTTTGCAGAAGGTATCAATTGCAGATAGCCTCTTTGTTAGGGGTAGCAACCTGTGTCCATTTCTACCTTCAGTGCTGGGACCTGTCTGGCTTGAACCTACAGGTCTTGTACATGTGGCCAGAGTCTCTGGGGGTTCATATGTGTCTCACACCTGCTGCATTTGGAAGACACTGTTTGCTTAGAGCCATCCATCACTTCTGGTTGTTAGTCTTTCTCCATCTCTGTAGATCCCTTAGCCCTAAAGGGAGAAGTTTGATGAATATATCCCATTTAGGACTGAGTCCTTTTTTTAAAAAAAAAAAAAAAATCATTTTATTACATGAGTACATTGTAGCTGTTTTCAGACATACCAGAAGAGGGCATCAAATCCCATTACAGATGGTTGTGAGCCACCATGTGGTTGCTGGGAATTGAACTCAGGACCTCTGGAAGAGCAGTCAGTGCTCTTAACCACTGAGCCATCTCTCCAGCCCCAAGAAGCAGCTTTGAGAGGACTGAGACAGGCTGACTCCATGACAGGATTCAAACTGACAACTCAGGATTCTAGGCCTAAATTTCTGTTTCCCAAAACTGGACAAGTCCAGAAACTAAGTTACTGGAAAAACTACAAGCTGTGAGCAGTCAATCAGAAGCTGCCTGCCTCCTGGCATGAGGCAAGAACAAGGAAGCAGCAACAGTTTCCAGCCCCCAACCCCCCACACTCCTTCTTGCACCCTCCAAGCAAGGGTTCCGGAATATTCCCAGAGCCCTAGCTAATCCCACAGACGCCCACACACCCTTAGAGATCAAGTCAACCAATCTAGATAAAGGCTGCCTACTCTTTGCTGGATTTCCTGTAATGTGCTTTAAATTGGGCCTGCAAATTCACCTGAGTATCTCTATCTTGATAAATGATAGACTTCAACATCCTGGACTTCTTCAGAATAAAATGCTCTTTGGTTTTGCATACTATTTGAGTCTGGGGTATCATTCTTTCTTTCTTTTTTTCTTTTTCTTTTTTCTTTTTCTTTTTTTTTTTTTTTTTTGGTTTTTCAAGATAGGGTTTCTCTGTGTAGCCCTGGCTGTCCTGGAACTCACTCTGTAGACCAGGCTAGCCTCGAACTCTCAAACTCAGAAATCCGCCTGCCTCTGCCTCCTAAGTGCTGGGATTAAAGGCGTGCGCCACCACTGCCCGGCTGGGGTATCATTCTTTATCAAATCATGGACTCTTACATTTGGGGGCTCGTCCAGGATTGGCTGGAGAATACCCCTACACACACCCAAATAGTGGGTTGTTTTCCTGATTGTTAAGTCTGGGTGCCTGGTTGTATTTTGTCTTGTCCATCTCTGTGTTTGTTTC